AGATTGCGAGTCGAGTGCCTTAACCACCTGGCCATGCCGGGCCATTTTAATGAATTAGAACGGTTTTTATTACAATTACTCCCTGGGTTTATGAATTAGAATGACTTTACAGCAATCATTTCCTAAGTGGATGAATTAGAATGACTTTACTACAACCATTCCCTAGGCGGAATAATTATAATGGTTTTATTACAACCAGTGTAAAAACTTGCACTTATTTTCAGTCAACCACACTCATCCTAAAATCAGTCAAGCTTAGCAGTATATACATTGTCTAGTCAATGAAAAATCCGAAGATAAAAATTTAATAATTTGTTTGGGTAGCACAAACTATCGTATTATGTGTAACGATAATTCTATCGTATTATGTATATTGATAATAATATTTCTTATGAATGCCAGGAAGTTACATGCATTTCCCGCTCGCGCACACTCACGAAGAAAATTATAGATATTTTAATAAATAAATATCCTATATGACAGGGCGAGGTATGGCCAGGTGGTTGGAGCACTCCACTCGCAATCTGAGGGTCGAGGGTTCGAAATCCCGTCCCACCAAACATGCTCGCCCTTTCAGCCTTGGGGGCGTAGTAAGTGACGGTCAATCCCACTATTCGCTAGTCAAAAGAGTAGCCCAAGAGTTGGCTGTGGGTGGTGATGACTAGCTGCCTTACCTCTAGTCTTACACTGCTAAATTAGGGACGGCAAGCTCAGATAGCCCTCGTGTAGCTTTGCGCGAAATTCCAAAACAAACAAACTCAGATAGCCCTCGTGTAGCTTTGCGCGAAATTTAAAACAAACCTGTATGACGTCCGTACGCCGTGAAGTCCAATAGTATGTATTTTGATAAAAAGATATCTTGATATAGCCTCTATACACTGGCATAGGTTACTCTACAAAATGTTACGAACACTGTTAAAATTTTACAAAAAAACTCTGTGATTGAAGATGTTTGAGAATTAGTGCTTATGACTGGTTTATTATTAACTGATGGTATGTTTCGTGTTAATTGCGTGTATTATTAACTTATTATGTGTTGTGAATGTGTGTTTGTTTTTCTAGTGTGTGCCTTTCCCTACGTTCTGGCTTTCACTACTGACACCATCGAGATTCGGCTTATTATTAACGGAAATCTCATTCACAATATGGTGATGCCAAAACTAACCGCCATTACGTCGAAGGTAAGAATCACAGTGCATCCTGTTCAAATATCTTAATCTCTAAATCCTGTCCAAATATCTTAGTCTTGTACATCCTGGCCAAATATCTTAGTCTTGTACATCCTGTCCAAATATCTCAATATGTACATCCTGGCCAAATATCTTAGTCCTGTACATCATGTCTAAATATCTTAATTTGTACATCATGTCCAAATATCTTAGTCCTGTACATCATGTCCAAATATCTTAGTCCTGTACATCTTGTTCAAATTGCTTAGTCTGTACAAATATATTATAAGCTCTGGAGGTACCTTTTTAACTTACTCTTGAGATTTTCAAGCATTCCACTATCGGTTGGGTTTCCAAATAATTTTTAATAACTAATAACATGATTTCAATCACTCCAGGATATCCATCGGGGAGAAGAAAGAATTAAGCTTGTTGTCTACATTACTAAAAATGGTATGTTTACAGATTAAGGAAGTCGTGGAAATCTAACAATTAAATCTAATAAAGTTATAAACCTCAGAAATGTATACTTAAGACAACCTGCTTAAGTATCACGTTTTCTGTTCACAGTTCAGTTAGTAAATTTTACGGAATGCCTCTGGATTTCTTGGAAGCAATATCGTGGAAAAGTTGTATAATTCTGAAAAGAAGAAAAAAAAAGCGTGTTGTTTTCCCTTAAGTATAGACGTTCAGGTCTGTCCTTTAAAATATTATTTATACACATTTTTAATAATTAACCCCTTGAGCAGATCGACAAAACTACTATGGCTTCCACGGCCTCTCTCTTTCTCACCTTCGCTGTTACAAATAACTTTAAAACAAGTTAATTTTTATTTTACTCTTCTTATTTCAGGGAGATATCTTTTTTGCTACGACAGATCCAGAATTTTTTCAGGTTCGACAAGAAAGAGTTAAAGTTGATAAAATGGACAGAGACCCCAGTCTATCACCACCTACGTCTCCACATTGTAAGTACTCTTTTGTCTTCTTATTTCTCTGTCTCCATATTATGAATGTTCTTGTGGTCTCTGATTTATACTTGTTCTTTTTTCGCCACATTATCTTTCTTTATTCCGTCTCTCACCTTTGTCGCTACTTTATATTCTGGTCTTCTTTGTGTTGGAATGATGACAGACAGACAAATATTTTGATATCTTCAACACGAACAGCACCTTATGTGACACAGACTAAATGACCAAATCAGATCAGAGAACCTTATGATTCGGCCATATCCAGACTAATTTATAACTGGTAGCCAGAGAGGATCAGACAAGTCAGGAGCACCATGATTTACTGTCGCAATTATAACGCCCTTAAGGCTGAAAATGCTTATCGTGGTTCGAACCTTGGGACTTCCGAATCGCAGCCTAACGCGCTAACCATTAGGTCGCGCCTTTGTTTCTATAAGCCATCTGGTGTACGAAGTCGACAATTTTAACATCTAAACACACAAAACCTCACAAGCAACTTGACCGGTATGTCTTTAATAAATACCCATTTCATTCACCAGCTGATTGAGGTATGCGGCAGTTAACAGATATGTCGCGAAAACAGCCTCTGTATACGTGATTTGTGTCGCTTTTGTAGACGAATATACTTGTTGGTTGTGTTATGTATTGTTGCCTGGGGCATGTATACGACTTTTGCCACTGAATTTTGTTTACGTAGATTCTCACCTGGAATAGAAATTTAAGTTTGCACTATTCTCATTACAAAAATACTCATTAAAATTTACGGACAAAATGTTTTCTCACAGTACATATACAAATAAAATTTTAATAAAGCATTTTACACAACTGGTATAACTGAATTGCATTAAATCGACATTTCAGTATATATATACATATGTTATATGACATCAGTTTTACTTGTATATGATCATTTTTCTAATAACTACACAAATTAATTACTTATTTCTTATATGGCCTATCGGCAGGACAGCGGTAAGTCTACGGACATACTACGCTAAAATCCGGGGTTCGATTTCCCGCGATGAACAAAGCAGATAGCTCATCGTAGCTTTGTTGTAAAACAAACAAATTTCTTATAAATATATTTATGTGTGTGTTAACATGTTTTACGTCACTTAAGCAAAATCTCGAGTCCTCGTTTTTTACATAGTTGCGTATTTATGACCTCTTGAATATGAAACGTCAGTATTTGTGAAATCCGAAATAGGCCACAAGTATTGTCACCAATTGTCTTAGTACATCTTAATAACATGGCACCGTTTCCTGAATTTGTAAATTCAACATTTAAAATTCAACTTCCCACACTTATGCTTGAACTTTACTTTTCTTCCCTATCTCCTTCACACTAACACACAAACACCATATCATTAAGTTAAGTTACACAAACGTTGAGTACGTTACATTAAGACAACTTTGGATTCGAACCACGTCATAACAGTTCATGTCATCGCGTCCAGTCATGCTCTATGTGACGGCCGTGCATCTTGTCAATAGCCTTCCAAAGTACTTAACATTACAGAAGACCGCCTTGTGAGACTGTCATGTCAAAACCACACCATCACTCCTGACATGCTGTACGTAAAGTTGTTTAGTATGCAAAGACGACGGTTTCCTAGCGCCCGTTTCAATAATTTGGTCGCACAGAATTCTATAAGTCTTGCATCTTGCGAATTAACCGGTATATTTTCGTATGGAATACCACGAATGCACGTTTCGTTCTCTAAATATTTGAAGTATTCGACGGTTGAACGGGTATGTCATAGAAACAACTTGTGTACATATGACTTGAATCGCTTTCCCAGACATGGGTCATCTCGAATATGTTCTCTGAGACACGTGGGCGACATTTGCCACTGACCTTTGTGTTTAAGCATCCTCATCTGTTACAAAGTTACGCATTTTGCTTACCACAGCTAGGGTATGACTTGTTAAAGGTCCTTTTCTGGATGATCCTAGTTCTCCAAGTTGACCAATATTCCGTTGTTTTCCAAGGCCATTAAATACAGGAGATATCTCTGTCTTGGAAATTCTTAACTTACGATCTGAACACATCTTTATAAACTGAGTATATAAATATTTGGCGGCGGAAAGGACTTTTACATGTCCTTCCCAAAAGCTATCAGTTTTTGACGGCATCACTCACACGTCCAGCAATGTCAAAACAAATGCTTGATATATTCCATTCCACCGCAGCATTACATCTAGGGCTTCTGATTTTTGGTTTCAACTGATAAATCCCGATAAAACATTCTCGATACATAAAACATAAATCGGTGTTTTTCAAATAAACATTGAAAAAATACCGGAAATGGTTATTCTTCAGAGGCTTCTTTTTATACTTCATTTGGATTTTTTGTTTTTATTTTTTTGTTTCGTGGAGAGTTGAGCATACAAACTGTATTAGCTTTTATGACTAAATTACACTGAACGAAAAGGAACACATTTCGTCCATTAGCGGTACGTTTGTTTTTATAATTTCGTATAGAATATTAATTACTCTTACAAAGCTTTAACATAAATATGTTTTGTACCTGTTATTACTCCCATAAAGAAACTAGTGTGCAAAGAATATACGGTATATTAGTAAAAAAAACCAAGAAATCTCCGAAAAACACCTATTTTAAATAAAACTATAAAACAACTAAAAATAAATACCGAGAAACAAAAGCCCTAATTATATCGGTTGTGACTACAACGTGACTTGCTGACTTGTATATTAAAATTAGCTGTAATAATATCGCACTCCTCTGTAAACTGTTTGTCCTGAAAATACCTAGTGTATTAATAGATAATATTCGTTTTATTTTTAGCTGAATATTTCGTTCTCAGGTACCAACAACTCAAGCTCTGCCGACAGTAATAAGCCATTAAGGATTTACCGGATGCCCTTTGGTTCACTAACCGGAAGTTCGTCGCCATGTGAAAGACGAGTGCCAACCCCGTGCATCCCCTCCCCTCAGCCACTACTCAATCCTCCAGATTTTAGCAGCAACTTTTTGTCGCCAGAATCACAGGTAAATATCTTATACTACATATACTAAAACTACACAAACGGCTAAATGTTTTCAAACTACATCGCCAGTAAGTGACCATAAAGCTTTAAGTGATAAAAGATAGGTGAGTCAATCTATTTGAACTATTACTGATGTTACTATTTTTATCTTTCGCGTGCGTAGGATAGTGAAACAGGAAAAAATTACTCCGGAACTAAAAATATTTAGTTTTGTAGCTTATCCTACTAATAAACAGTTATAGTTATTATTTTTTTTTATTTTGCGATGAACATATTCAAAATGTTTCCCAGGGTTCGATTTCTTAGAAGACCGTGTTTCTCGTCAAAGTTAATATAAACAAATTGTGACGTAATAAACTGATGAACATAGATATAGACATGACACAGTTACTTTTTATTGTAAACAAATAAAAATACAAAGAATTAAAAAAAAATGAAACCCGATATAACTGCGTCAATTATCATTTTACAACCTAAAATACATACTTAAAAGAAATAAATATTCCTGTCTGGCTTCAAACTACATTATTGATACAAAACAGAGGAAGACATGAGAATATGTAAATATCGAAACGTGTAGCAGAGTTTTACTGTTATGTTTTAGCTACTTATTTGTCTGGTATATTAATAATGTCGTTTGAAGTTTATGTACCCCATACTTTTTAAAATTGCTTAGTTATCATTGTTTGATTCATGCCAGTATATATATATATTAAGTTTATCTTCCTCATTGGAAGTTAACTGGCAATTTATAAGCATAATCAAGATATACCAAAGGGGGGAGGATGGTAAAATCATACTACAGTTACTGATTTATAGTTATTTGAACTGGAATTTTATAACATAAAAACCTTCTAGGAAAGATTTTGATAAACTTTTGCGTGTTATTCGTGCATATAGGAATATGAAACATATATATATATATATACTTGGTTATCTAGGTTTTATGCTTCTACGTAACTTGTTTATCCAGCAGTAAATGTTCAAATGTAAAGAAGATCATTCACTATAAACAAGCAACACTGGAATATACACATGGTTATTGTTATTTTCGAATAAAAAAATATTCATAACATAACAGCTTCCAATGTCGATGTAGTAAAGTTTTTAATATCTAGAATAAATAATTATACAACTTTTGCTGGTCGTAACTTCTTAGATAATACGGAATATATTAATCATTACAAGATTTTATTAACATAACTTAAAATCAAACATTTTACTTCAAAGCAGTGTTCGCTTGAGCTTGTTTGTTTGTTTCTGAATTTCGCGCAAAGCTACACGAGGGCTATCTGCGCTAGCCGTCCCTAATTTAGTAGTGTAAGACTAGAGGGAAGGCAGCTAGTCATCATCACCCACCGCCAACTCTTGGGCTACTCTTTTACCAACGAATAGTGGAATTGACCGTCACATTATAACGCCCCCACGGCTGAAAGGGCGAGTATGTTTGGTGGACGGGGATTCGAACCTGCGACCTTCTGATTGCGAGTCGAGTGCCCTATCCACCTGCCCATGCCGGACCCGCTTGAGCTTGTATAAAATACAACACTGAACTGATTACTAATCATTATATTGTTGATTTTTGAAACTTTGCAACCTTGACAAAATCGCCATGACAGTGACAACACTTTTTTCATTAGTTCATTATTTTAGTTAAATATGGTGTAAGAAATAGTATGAATTGTTAATTTCCAATCTGTTATTACATGTTAAATATTAGATATGTAAATTTTGTAATTAACAGTTAATATTATTTATATTGAAATTACGCCCGTAAATAATAGATGATTCAGTTTAATCTTATACTTATAACTTCTATTATTAAGATTTACTACCAAATTATTTATCTGATTATAATTCCCTGTTTTATATTTTATTCATATTTTCTTAAGTTTAGATGTTCAAAACATTTCAATAGGAAATTATATCTCAAATTATTTCAGATATGTTATTAAATTAAAATTCTGAAGAAAAGCGTAGCAAGTTTTTGCACAAATTACGGCATTGCTTTTACATAAATGATCAAATAATTCTGCATTTTTCTTTTTGTGCTTAGCCTAGAATAGGTGTTGCAGTAAATTAATAATGATTGTAACTTAGAACAGATTTTTATGAGCTCAAAAAATTGCGAATATTACGGCTGATTAAATTTCTAAGTTGGTATACGAAGAATTAACAACAGATTTTATAGTACGTTTAAGCCTTAATGTCTTTGTTCTCTTCTCTAATAAAATATCTTGTTTTCTACCTCATAGAATCCGTGTTAATTTGTTTCTCTCAAAAGTGAATTAGTTCTCGATATTTTACCACAAATATCAATACATTACGAAGCAATAAAATCATTATTACCAAGAAATTAAAGATGCTTCGTTATTTTTACTGCTGTAAGTCGGGGTACATCATAGAGATCTGAAGTTGTGATTTCTTTAGTCATAAAAGGTTGCCCGCCAGTGGCACAGCGGTATGTCTGCGGACTTACAACGCTAGAATGCGGGTTTCGATACCCGTGGTGGGCAGAGTACAGATAGCTCATTGTGTAGCTTTGTGCTTAATTAATAATCAAACAAACCAACATAAAAGGTTGTCTCTGAAAAGTATAAAATAATGTGTTTTTTTTTCTATTATGAGTCAAATAGCAACGCATTTCATCTTCTCAGATCCGACTTTTTGTATTAGGAAACATTTATATTAACAAACTTACAAAACTATTTTTTATAATAACATTTGATATTTACATGTTTGCTACGCATGAAAATGAATTGATGAGGATTGTTATAACCCGTTTAAAACACCATTTTGACAATACGCATTTAATGACATTCATTTTACTTGTGCTGATCTAAGACATTAAATTATGACATGCGGATTTTATATCCTTAATCAATCGTTATGCTTGTCATCTACGATTAAAATTTATATTATTGGTCGTGGGTTTCTTTACTTGCTTCGTGTTTTGGCATGATACCTTAGAATATTGGGTAGTTGATGGATCGTTTGTTTATTAAAAAGTGATTTATAGTGGTCCTGGGTGTATCGTGTGGTTGATCGATCACTTGTTTATTAAGCAGTGCTTTATAGTGGTCCTGGATGTATCGTGTTGTTAGATTTTCATTTGTTTCTTAAACAATGCTTTATAGTGATCCTGGGTGTATGGTGTTGTTAGATTTTCATTTGTTTTTTAAACAATGCTTTATAGTAATCCTGGGTGTATCGTGTTGTTAGATTTTCATTTGTTTTTTAAACAATGCTTTATAGTGGTCTAGGGTGTATCGTGTTGTTAGATTTTCATTTGTTTCTTAAACAATGCTTTATAGTGATCCTGGGTGTATAGTGTTGTTAGATTTTCATTTGTTTTTTAAACAATGCTTTATAGTGGTCCTGGGTGTATCGTATTGTTAGATTTTAATTTTTGTTTCTTAAACAATGCTTTATAGTGGTCCTGGGTGTATCGTATTGTTAGATTTTAATTTTTGTTTCTTAAACAATGCTTTATAGTGGTCCTGGATGTATCGTATAGTTAAATTCTAGTTAAGAAGTTAGCACACCTACAAAAGTTGTAATATTTTTCAAACGAGCCCCAAAAGTTTGAAAACATTATTGTGTAGTTAGTTAGCTTTTCTTTCGTTTGTTACATAGTTCTTTATCATGGACTTATCTGAGTGTATTATGACATAGACTTGTGTGAGATTGTCTTCATTGTTAGAAGAACTGTTTTGTCGAAAATCTGGTTGCAAAATCATAATAACACAGATACTTTTCCATGAATGACATACTTAAAGACAAACTGCAATGCCTTACAGTTGAAACTTGTTTTCTATAATTAGCCTAAAGCTAAGCGTTCTTCATAGTACAAACATAATAACTGTTTATTGGAAAACTAAGCCTAACATAATAGTTAGGAAATAACAATGAGATAACGTTATGTCGTATTAGTTTAGATATTTTCTGTAGTACGTTAAACAGCATAGAAAAGGCCTAAATAATATTCTTGGGATCTCTACGCATTTTAGAACAAAAGCGTTAAGAGTAAACTTGGGTACTCTTAAAACGACCCTATTAATTTTTGTGGGGTTTATAAATTTATTAATGTTATATTTTGCAACGTTACGCCAAGCAGAACAAACATGTTCAATCACAGCTGTCACAAAGGATTAAAATATTTAATATTCATTGCTGTGGTTCCTTTTCTTGCTAGATAGGCTTTTGATATATGATCTACATGGTAGTGTTTTAGGCTAGGAAACTTTGTAATTATGTTTAATATTACAAAATCTGTCACTGTGACTACTACTAGTACTAAGTTACAGGTTATTCAGAGTAGTATGAATCTAATTAGGTGATAACTTATGTATACTGCTTAAGGCAAACAACAATTTTTAAAACGACAAGTATTTTCCTTATTGCCATCTGGTGGCAGGTTTAATTAATATTATAGTATCAAAATTTACATTATTTCAAGTATATTATTTTCACTGAGTGATAACTCTTTTTGTTTTCATTATTCTAGGATAATCACCTGCGAACGGATACAAGACCAAGTAGAAGCGCAACCTCGTCCCCAGTTCCCCCTCTTCCCATTATTCTTCGCCAGCAGAGTGCTTCTAACCGTAAAGTTATTAAAGATTACATTTATTCCACTAGTTCGGACTCTGGTGTAAACAAAAGTGAGTGTTCGACACCATCACACAGTATCCACGTATTCACGGCGGCTAAAGACGAAACCTGAGTGAAACAATAGCCAAACTGTGACCACTTGTAAACATATGTACAGCTATTACAGACTTTTGCTATTCGATGTGTCAAATTGTTTTACAATTCTATGTATCTTTTACATTCCAAAGCTAAAGAAAAACAAAAACGTAAATCAAGAAAACTCTCGAAACTTTTGCAAAATAGTAAACATCAATTTTTGATGCCAACCTTCCAAGCATGTTTAGTGACTTTACAGTATAATTCAGAGAACTTAATTATTAACACTAGTCTCTTATTATATTTAAAACTTCCTATTTAATTATTGCCAAAGTACAGGTGAGAAAATAGAGGAAGAAGTCTTAGATAGGGAAAACCAGGGCAAAATACACATTAGTTACTGTCGATGTGAAATGCTTGTCTATAATTATCCCATAAAAAATTATTGTTGAGTCTTACAAAATATTATTCGATAGAAAGGAAAAAACCAGACAACAAAATACAGTCATGTAATTAATTAATTTAAATTATAATTCAACTGTATTATATATTAAAATAAATTAGGGGAAATTTTTCGTGTGGAAATATTAATAAAACCAAACTTATCCTAGCGTATTTTCAACGATCATATAGAAACGTTATAAAAGATCGATACCCGTGGTGGGCAGAGCACAGATAGCCCATTGTGTAGCTTTGTGTTTAACTACAAACAACAACAACAATGTAAAAGATCAACATCTGTGCACTGATCATTGGTTAGCTTCAATAGCTTTCTGTGAGCACAGATGTTGACAATGAAATTGTAGTTTGGTGGAATTGGAAGCCGGATAATCGATCAAATATCTCTAAACAAGCCGTAATTTCAGTAAAGTGAAAATGATTTATTGGTTTCGTTAAAAAGTAATCGCGATCTAGAAGTTTCAAATGTTCTTAACACAACGTGCCTTCGAAAGAAATTGAATTTACATAACTTTCCCAATCAAAGGCTTAATGTGTGAGTAAATTACCACCTAAACCGAAAACATTTGTGAATATACTTCGAAAGTACATCCTCTTTTAGGATAAGACTCGTTTTATTCTGAGTAATTTCATATTTAACAGAAATCAGTTCATGTCTATAGGATTTCAACAGATGGGTTAACTCCTTACAATATAATTGAACACAACTGACAAACAGATACAAATTCAACATAATGCGATCATTTGAAAATATAAAAATATTACATTATAATCGCTATACAGAGAGAGAGGAATGAACAATGTTTCAGCCAAATGACTATCTTTTTGGTAAAATGTTCATTATTTTGTCTTTCGGAATAGATCCTGGCTGATACATTTTTTTTTCAGATTGCGATATTTAACTTTTTATATCTTTAGTACGCAAGTAACTAAAGGGAATTCTGTAGTATAATGCCTTTTTATGGAATGTTCTAGCTAACTTAATTATTTCCACGTATATTAATGTTCATTACTTATGTCCATTTATGACAAATAATACAGAAGTTTAATCAAACCTAATTTCCTTACCAAAACAAAACACAATAAATGGTCATATTGGTGTGGGATCTGAAGCTGCATCGTTCTATAAAGTCGTACCAGGAGTGTGAGAAAAGTTTATAGTTTGATATTTTAAACACAAATTCCTCACTATAATTGAATATTCATACCCCTTTTTTAATCTTCTGTGAAAAAAAAAAATAACAAGAGGAAAAAGTTACAATTCTGTAATCGGATTGTTCTTTAAGTTTTATCAAACTGATTAGGAAGACATCTTTTGATTTCCAAAGGCAAAGTAAATAATCAAGTTAACTGATATTTTATCTACTGGAGAGTAGCAACTACTATCTTTTATATATATATAAGCAGGATAGTATAAAAGTTGGGAATAAAGAGATGCCCATTTTGTACAGAATTAAGTATTTTGTTGTTTGAAATGGGGCATAGGTTGAGATGTAAACATGAGAATGCTGTTTGTGTTGCTTTATTTTCATGTAGCTTGCAATACACTACCTCTACAAATCTTGAAAGTACTCACTCTGAGCTCCGAAGTAAGCAACTGTTTTTAGAATAATATAAATTATTTCAGTTTTCGTAACATGCATTTACAAATATGTGTATTTAATGATATTCAGACAATTTATGTATTTTGTAGACACATCGTTGATAGTAATTACTTGTAAACTTTTCGTTCCTATTTATAAAAAGTTCATAATGCGTTTGTTTATTTTTTTGTACATGAAAGAAACTAGCTGTATTTTATGCTCTGGTTTGCTCCCAAACGTGTCATATGTCTGATGTATTTTTATAACAATATCCCTTCTTTTCAGTTTATGGTCAAAGTGTGATTCCCCATCTTCAGCTCTTAGTTAAAAATGTATTTGGAAGCTCAAGATGAATTTATTATAGTGTCTAAAATTTTAACAATAAATATCATGAATAAGTCGGAAATATTAAAGACATCATATCAGGTGTATAGAATATAATAACTTTAATCAGTCCGGAAAAAAAGTATTATATTTGAAAATGTATTTTTTACAATTCCTAATTCTCTAATTTATGTGAAAAAGATAATGATTCCTAAAATCTTAGTTACTCATCAAAGGCTCTGCACCTTTTAGGTTTAGGTTGTTTAATTATATTTAAGAATATATTATTTGCACACCAAAACATCTCTAAGTTAGGTGGAGAACTATTGTTGTTCGAGTGGTAATTTTTCAAAAAGGGTATAACTGCATTTAAAAACAAATTGTATGCGTACTCAAAATTCCTTAATTGTGCGAGATACTATTTTTGCTTTAATTGCAAGTTTTCACCAAAGTTTCCGTTGTCCCCCGATTTTAGATTTTATTTATACTTAAAGCTTTATTTTTCTTTCCCATCAGCTTAAAATTTAGATAAAAGTTTTAATTGATAGAAAATTTTTGGGTGTAAAGGAAATCACTAATATTTATATAAACCTTAAAAATAGGGTGTCATCCTAAATATAAATATATATATGCGTGTGTGTGTGTACACTAGTCCTTCGCCGTACGTAACGAGCTATTCTCATCAGATGCGAATAAAATAAACAAAACGTTTTCGAATAACGAGCTTAGGCTGTTTATCAATGTCTAAAAGAATGATACATATGCACGCGTTTAGTTTGGTTGTTCTATCATGATAATTATGAAAAACCCTTTTATTTAAGCGTTTTCATTGCATTAAGATGTATAGCACTGCGCCTTTTAACGTACAAAACACGCTTAATTATGCTTCCCTGAAATCAAAATTGAAACCTTAACTTTCTAATAATTAACACGAAAGTAAAATCACATTAAACATATGTTGGCTTATTAAGTACTTTCGGTTTTGTTAGATAGCCCAAAATCACGATTTACAAATGCATATGTATATTATTCATCCCTGACGAGGCTATCTCGCCAAAGAATAACAGGAAGTGGCTGGTAATGTTTTTCAAAAACAGTATTCTGCTTTTAATATCAACTTGATTTTAAACTAATAAGCACGTGCTAATTGAAAGGTTCGTTACCAAAAAAGTTTTAAAAAAAAAAGATTAAAAATGAAAATTTTCAAAGTAAGATTCTACAACTCAAACGTTTTTTTTTCTCAGTTCCTTTCTAGCAAGAAATATGCTTTAATATTAGTTATTAGAAGCAAGCAGTGTGTATAAAATTTGTGAAAAGTGACGCTCTGTTTACTTTTATGATCTCTATATATAAATGTATAACAATTCCATAGGTTTATTTGCAAAAATGATAAATATAAAACTAACAAAAATCTTTAGTAGTATCACTGACTAGTTGTATGATGGTCTTGTAACTTATAAACAATAATATCAGAAATATGGAACTTGTTTATTTTTTATACTTTTAAAAATAATAATTATATATAAATTCTAATCACATCTATTTACTCTCAGTGTTGCTAAAAACTTAAAATGCAAGTTTCTATTGGTTTTTGTCTTTCTTAAAGTTTAGGTACAAAGGTGTTTGTGTATATTTATATGGATTATTATATGACAAGCTAATGAAAGGCTCGGAGTACAGTTTTAAGAGATCCGAAACGTCACCTATGGGACAGTGTTATTTTCATTATTATTTATGATATCAAGAAGAAAAAAGGAGAAAACAAAATAGCGATTTTTTCGATATGGTAGGTCAAATTTTGGTACTTTTATTCCAAAATTTCTTGTTTGTTCGATTTTTTTTTCTAGTTGGCCATTTTCATGCATGCATGTTTTTATCCTGAAATACAGCGTTCGACTTGCTAAATAAAGTTTGCAGTAACCTTGCTCTTCTTGTTTGTATCTTTAATATTTATACTCGAAAAAAATAAAACTAGTTCATAATGCATGAAAAAGGAAACTTAAATTAAAGTATATACAGTCAAGTGACATAACAAGGAAACTTAAATTAAAGTAAATACAGTCAAGTGACATAACAAAGAAACTTAAATTAAAGTATATACAGTCAAGTGACATAACAAGGAAACTTAAATTAAAGTATATACAGTCAAGTGACATAACAAGGAAACTTAAATTAAAGTATATACAGTCAAGTGACATAACAAGGAAACTTAAATTAAAGTATATACAGTCAAGTGACATAACAAGGAAACTTAAATTAAAGTATATACAGTCTAGTGACATAACAAGGAAACTTATATTAAAGTATAAACATTCAAGTGACATAACAAGGAAACTTAAATTAAAGTATATACAGTCTAGTGACATAACAAGGAAACTTATATTAAAGTATAAACATTCAAGTGACATAACAAGGAAACTTAAATTAAAGTATATACAGTCAAGTGACATAACAAGGAAACTTAAATTAAAGTATATACAGTCTAGTGACATAACAAGCCAATTTCACTACGGAGAGTACGGTCGAATAACAAGTCTCTTTTTTTTTCTCCTTTGATATTTAACAAACCAATGTTAACTGAGTTTATACAGCTTTACAAGATGTATGAAATATGTTTTTCACACATATATATAGATAACTGCAAGTTCGTAATGCTGGAGAAACGAGCAAAAATATATCAGATTTATAAGCTGACACACTTCTTAATTTTTTTCTCTAGAATGAAATATTTGATCTCAACACACATGCACGAAAATATGCAAGTAATTAATTGTTCGGGAATGATGTGTAACGTTGAACAGTATTCAGTATACATTCGTCACTAAAACATTATATTTGATATTCGACAGACGTATGAAGTTCCTAATTCCGAACCTTTTTCCTGAAACAAAAGTTCACTTGATATTACCTTAATGCTCACCGACTCTTCCAAAAAGGCAAAATAAAGTAACTAATTAAAGCATAATGTTTAAGCATTAACTACATTGCCATAAACAACTGATACATCTAACTATTTAATGATGACTGAATGCTTACTAACTTAAGGACTTGGCATGACCTGGGTGGTGGTTAAAGCGATCGCCTCTCAATCTGCGAATCGCGGGGTCGAAACCTATTGCCGAACATGTTTCTTTTTACAGTCGTGAGGGCGTTATACTTTGACAGTCAATCCCAATATTGTTACTAAAAATAGCTGAAGAGTAGACGGTGAGTGATATTGACTAGCTTCCTTCTCCCTAGTCTATCATTTAAAACTTAAAGACGGCTAATGCAAACAGCCCTCAAGTAGCTTTGCTCGAAATTAAACAAACAAATAGATCAACCGTCAATAAGAGTTGTGACCGTTAGGAAAAAGATGAAACAAATCTCTAAATAAAACACAGATTAATCCAAAGTCAATTTTATTAAGAAATATATATCTAACAACGTATATGCATTCTAAACGTAGAAGACTGAATAGTGATGCCTTTTTCTTTTAATCCGCATACACTGTTATATATTTTGGCACTGAAGCTAATGGTAAAAAAAGATATATTTTAAACAAATTATTGGATTTGTAGGGAAATTAAACACAAACACGGTAGCTGGATTAAGCTTTAAAAAACAATATAAATGTACAAAAATATTGGAAAAATGAATCACTGGGAAACTCTACTTTCTTAATTATTCTTTAACCAAAATAAAATAGCTAAGAAATGACTCATTGTAATTATAACTCAAGGAATATAGAAGGTATGTTTTATTTTGGTTTCTTTATAACTTGAGTATGACTTATGAACCAAGCGAGAATGCTCAATAGCTGCGGCAATCGAAATTATTTTAGGCAGGATTAGAGTAAATTAATTTATGAGACCTTAGGAGTTATCAAATAATCAATCAAAAATACATACAATGAGCAAAGAATAAATGTTCAATAGACAATAACAGAAATATGGGACTTGAAAACCAAAAGCCATTCAGGGTCCAATCCTCCTACCCCCTGGTGGAAAGACTGCATATAAGCACAGTGTAGTTTTGCGTTTAAAACATCTTCATTGCAAATAAAAGTGACTTTAAACACGCGTTAGATACTTTATTCTTATTTTTAAAACCCAAATTATTAAGTTAACTTTCATATTTAAACAGAATTTCTCTTGAGTTGACTACAACTTTAAACGTAAACTCGCATACATTTCTTTTTGTATCTTTTGTTGAGGTGTTGTTTCCGTAAATATCAGATGATTATGTTGTATAAAAAGGCAGTATTCTATAATTATGGGTTCGGACTGGCTCTATCACAGAGTTCTGAATTTATAGAACTGTCAAACCGGATTATAATACGTGTGATACCCAAAAATTCGCGCAAATCAACCTGTTGGTGCGTTATAAGAGTGAGAGTTAATTCCTTAACATATATTGTGAGTAGTAGGCTGCTTTCCTTCTGGTTAGTTCTTCAAAATTAGAGACAACAGCTAATAACTTTAGTAACTTTGCCCTAAATGTAAATATAAAAAGTCTCAGACTTTTTTCTTAGTTTATACCTCCAACCTTTTCGTTTCTCTATATATATATTAGTTGGGTAAAAAAGAGAATTTTGGTTTTCCATAGAAAAACAACAGCCATGAAAGTAGACTTGGAAAAAGTACTTTGAAAATTTTAATATCAGACAAGATACCTAGATATGCTAAGTTTCTTTCAGAAGTATATTTTAAACTCTCTCATTTTGAACGATTGCTGTTTTATTATGAATATTAAATGCATTAATCATACAAATGCAAGTTTTGTGTAAATGTTAATAAAACTGAAAATATCTTATTATAGAAATAATATAAATATTCATGCTGCATACGTTTTTTTTCTTCAAGTTTATGAATCTTTATTATTTACTAACGTAGTGAATTTTGCGAGTAATTTATTTTCTTGTCACTAGATGGCACAACATACGAAACTTATAGAAGATTTTAGTTTTATTTGCAAGCATAAAGCTGCACAGTGTGCTGTCTGTGCCTTTAAACCTGTCTGGTTATTTAAAAACAAGAGGTGAGCATCCACTATCCTGTCTATTTGAAAGCAGGGGGCGAGCATTCACTATCATGTGAATTTAATAGCAGGGAATGAGCATCCACTATCATTTCAATTTAAAAGCAGGAAGTGAGCATCGGCCATTTAAAAGTATGAGGTGAGAATCTACTATCATGTCTATTTAAAAGCAAGAGGTAAGCATCCACTATCATGTCAGTTTAAAAGCAGGAAGTGAGCATCGGCCATTTAAAAGTATGAGGTGAGAATCTACTATCATGTCTATTTAAAAACAGGAGGTGAGCATCCACTATCATGCCTATTTAAAAGCAGAAGGTGAGCATCCACTATCATGCCCATTTGAGAGCAGGAAGTGAGCATCCATTATCATGCCTATTTAAAAGCAGAAGATGGCCATCCATTACCATGTGAATATAAAAGCAGGAAGTGAGCATCCACTATCATGTCAATTTAAAAGCAGAAAGTGAGCATCCATTATCATGGCCATTTAAAAGCACGAGATGAACATCCATTATCTTGGCCATTTAAATGTATGAGATGAGCATCCATTATCATGTCTATTTAAAAGCAGGAGGTGAGCATCCACTATCATGTCTGTTTAAAAGCAGAAGGTGAGCATCCACTATATGCCCATTTAAAAGCTGGAGGTGAGAATCCACTATCATGTCTACTTAAAAGCAAGAATTGAACATCCACTATCATGCCCATTTGAAAGTATGAAGTGAGCATTAACTATCATGTCAATTAAAAGCAGGAAGTGAGCATCCACTTTCATCCTTATTTAAAAGCGGGATATGAACATCCATTATCATGCCTATTTGAAAGCAGGAGGTGAGTATCCACTATCATGCCCATTAAAAAGCAGGAGGTGAGCATCTACAATCATGGCTATTTGAAAGTGGAATATGAGCATCCACTATCATGCCTATTTAAAAGCAGAAGGTGAGCATCCATTATCATGTGAATTTAATAGCAGGAAGTGAGCATCCACTATCATGCTTATTTAAAAGCGCGATATGAACATACACAATCATGTCTATTTAAAAGCAGGAAGTGAGCATCCACTATCATGCCTATTTGAAAGGAAGAGGTGAGCACCCACTATCATGCCTATTTGAAAGCAGAAGGTGAGCATCCACTATATGCCCATTAAAAAAGTGAACATCTACTATCATGCCTATGTAAAAGCAGGATATGAGCATCCACTATCATGCCTATATAAAAGTAGGACATGAGGATCCACTATTATGCCTATTTAAAGCAGAAAATGCTTTAGTTTTAACTATTGTCTTGAAGACTAATTATAATATAGATACATCACTGGATTTCATGTAACTCTAAGAGTCACTTCACATAACATCTGATCGGCCTACTTTTCATATGTAACCAAATGAAGTGTTCTATGAATATGTGTGTGGGAATCCTGATAAGGTGGTACTCACTGTATAAATGCGTGTTGTGTGAATAACGCTTTAAATATGCTGTAATCATATAGAGGAGAGTTGGGTTGGTTGATCCACTTTTTTCTTAAACTAAAACTCATCTCTGAACTTCAAGATAAGGAATTTCGATACCAACATAAACTAGAAACCTTCCTCTATTATATAGCAAAAACAAATTACTTGCCTCTTGGCTAATGTTCTCAGAAATGAACGTAATAGAAAAGTGTGCGGGAGAAGTTGACACACGCTCTAGGGTAAATTGACATGAATGAAATGAAATCAATAACATTTTATTTATATCAATGTATTTATTGCACATTAATTATATGAAATAAGAACACTTTAGCTGTTTCTTACCATAATGTCTGCAAACACAGTTTGAAATTCAAAGTTTAAAAAATATATCACAGAAAAATAATGTAAAGGGAATAACGCAATGAGGAATTGGCAAGAACTTTAATCAAT